GTCTTCAAGTAACTTAAAGAAGTCCAGACGCCCTTCTTTGCAAGCTCCTTTGACTACGATAACCTGGATGACTGAGAACCTTCACAGACTTCAGTCACTCCCATGCTGAAAAAACCTTCTTTAGATCCTAACAACTTTAACAACCGCCGTACAATTTCTAATTTACCCTTCATCTATAAAATACTTGAAAAAGTAGTTGCAGTTCAACTTCATTCACACCTGGATAATTATAACATCTACGAGAGATTTCAGTCTGGTGTTCGTTCATGTCACAGTACAGAAACTGCTTTATTTAAAGTCACTAATGATCTTCTAGTCGGAGCTGACTCTGGTCTTCTCACCATTCTCGTCCTTTTGGATCTGAGCTCAGCCTTCGACACGATCTCTCATTCTGTCCTTCTAAGCAGACTTTCCTCTCTCGGCATCTCTGACCCACTCCAGTCAGTTCAGTCTGTAGTCCAGTCTCTGGTCCAGTCACTCATTCATCATCCTGTTCAGCTCCCTGACCTGGTTACAACCATAGCTCCTTGACCACTCCCAGTTTATTCAACTGAAATAATTCCACTCTCATCTATTCCCGGTCACTTCTGGTGTACCCCAAGGTTCAGTGTTTGGATTTAAACCAGTCTTTGATGAAGGGGGCTTCATATATGTGGACGAATATGCTGTGGCAGTTAAGCCTTGCAGTGTGCCAGAAGGAAGCACAACATCCAACTTATTTTGTGACATTTCACAGATCCATCCAACTACCCATCTACTTTGTTAACCGCTTATCCTCTTCAGTATCACAGTCTGCTGGAGACACACGAAATAACAGAGACTCACCGGCAATGAAGAATGTCACGAAATTGTCCAGCATAAATTCCTCATCTTCTTCAGTCATGATTTCCTCTGAAACAATAAGAAAATTGACATATAAATTAATATTTGGCTTCTTTCTCTTTTTTTCATTTATTACACATCAGATGTTACAATGTCTTCTGTGTTAATGCCTCTATCAGTCATCTGTTTATATTCGGCAAAGCTTCCAAAGTGTCCATTTTCAAGCGAATCACAGAGCCAGCCTTCCTGATCAGTTTATTTAGTTTGCTGGTGTCATCGGCATGATGTCGCTTCTTCAGCATCAGCACGCAGACCACAACAAAGAACACTCCACTCGCCACAACTAAAAACTCAGTGTACTTGTTGACTCTTGTGTGTACTATTCACAGCAATTTAAAATCAATGCTCAAGGCTTACTGAGTCTATTCAAATGTGGAATTTAGGGATTACAACCTTGGTTGGCAGTTTTGATGATTTGTGTCAGGATGTCTTTGGGGACCTCGTCACCGTTTTCAATGGCGGCCTTTCTCTCAGCGATCCACTGAGCTCCAGTTTTGCGCAGCAGGCGGCACGCTTCCCTCACCTCATTAATGTATCTTCTGTTCTTTGGATTAAACTGGAATGGCAGATTGAAGAAGTTAACATTCCATGCAACAAGACTTGCAGTACATACTTTCTTCTTCTTTGGCTCTCGGAGGAGGCGGACGCCTTCCCCTCTCCCTCCCTTATCTTCTCTGCTGCTGCTTCTAGGTGTTTGTCTAGTCTCGTCTAACTCTAACCCTCAAAGAGTTTCTCGGTCTTGTTCTCTAAAACCTAAAGAATTATGGATTTGATCAACTGGTCCCGTAATGGAATTGACA